CAGTTTATATTGTTCTTTAGATCCTGATTGGACCACCGACCTTGAGCCCAGTGTGTCTGGAGATGTGCCCCCCACCCAAACAGGCTTGCATCTGTGGTGATGGTAACCCTGTCTGGTTCTTTGAATTCTGCTCCCTGTGACAGTGCCGGAGAGTCCCACCAACGAAGGGAGTTCAACACTGACCGTGGAACTCGGATCTTCTGGTGGGATGTGCTGGTGTGAAGTCTCTGAAATGGAAGAAGAAGCCACTGTAATTCTCTGGCATGGAGACATGCCCATGGCATAATTTGCACGCAGGACACCATCTTTCCCAGTAGCTGTGATAACAAGGCCAATGTTACTACTCTGTCCTTTCGGATCCGACGTACAAGGGTCTGAATAGAGTTCCGTTGGTCCTATGATAGGTAAACCATACAATTGTTTGTGTCTATAATAGTGCCCAGATGGAGGAGCCGAGTTGTTGGTACAGTATGGCTTTTCTGGAAATTAACAGAAAACCTGTGCTCCTGAAGGGTCTTGATGGCTAGGGCGAGGTCTGACTGAGCGTTCTGGAATGATGATGACTGTATCAATATGTCATCTAGATAGCATTGAATTCTAATTGGAATCTGTCTAAGGTGGGCTGCTAGCACTGCCAGTACCTTTGTGAATACTCTCGGTGCTGATGAGAGGCCAAATGATAAGGCTCTGTACTGGTAGTGGCGTTGGGCATAGCTGAATCTGAGGAATTTGTGGTGGTCAGGAAAAATAGGAATGTGCAAATATGCCTCAGTCAGGTCTATTGACATAAGGAAGTCTCCTTGTCTGATGCTAGCCAGGATTGATTGCAGTGATTGCATCTTAAACTTCCTATACATCAGATAAAGGTTTAGACCTTTTAAGTCTAAGATTGCCCTCCAGCCCCCCGAAGTCTTAGGGATGATGAAGAGGTTTGAGTAGAACCCTCGTCCTTCTTGGTCTTGTGGTACTGGTTCAATTGCTTGTATTTGTAATAGATGAGCTACGGCCTCTGACATAAGATCCGCTCTAGTCCTGTTCCTGGGAATAGGGCAAGGGTGGAACCTGTCAGGTGGTCTGGACCAAAACTCTAGTCTCAGACCCTGAGTGATGGTGTCTAACACCCATGAGTCTGTAGTAGTGGCTGCCCAAGTGTTGGAATAAAGGGTCAGCCGGCCTCCTATAGGAGGTGAGACTGTGAGATCACTTGCCTCATTTAAAGGAATGGCCCCCTGCACCTCAAAAGGGCCGCTTGGTCTGGACCTGTGGTCAGCTTCTGTATGCTGAATGATCCTGCTGTCATTCTTGTCTCTGAAAAGAAGAACGAGATGCCTGGGCCCAGTCCCAGGATGGAGCTGGCCGAAAGGGCTGCCTTCCGTAATTGCCCTGTGATAGACTGTTCCCCGAATGCTTATCTCCTTTCCTTGCTGAGTTAACAAGAGTTTTGCATTTGTCCTTACCTTCTATTAAGTAAGGTTCTAGGGCCTTACCAAAGAGATGTCCACCTGTGTAAGGTTTAGAGGCGAGACGCCATTTGGCCTTGGTGTCTGCTCGCCAATTCCTGAGCCAAAGGAGCCTTCATGCTGAGATGTCCGCAGCAATGGTCCGGGCAGTGTATCTGGCCATGTGCAGAGAGGCGTCGACCAAGTACTGGGATGCAGCAACCAACTTACCCAGATTTTGATGAGCTCTGAGTTGGTCCGGAGGAATCATGTCCTGGAGCTCACGTAGCCATAGGACTGAAGCCATGGATGTTGATGCCTTTGTTGCCCAGGCTGACACCAAACGGGAACTGCGTAAGGCAGCCTCAATCTTTTTATCCTCTGCCCTAAGTGCCTCGTTAACATCCCCTGGAATGCTGGCATTGGGGAACAGTGAATTTAGGGGTTCATCAATCTGGGGAATTTCCAATAAGGAGGCCAGGGAAGAAGCCACATTGAATAGTGTCTTTTCTATGGCTCCAGAGTTTGAAAGAGATCCTAACTTCTCCCATTGTTTCTGAACTATGTTGAGAAAAAAGGGAGGGCAGGGAATATGATTCTGAGAGACCGAGGGCTCAGCATATATGGCGTGAGGACCTTTGGATGTTGTAGGTGGGGTCTCCTGTTCCTGAGGAAGGTTTGCAATTGTGCAAGCCTCGAGTAATAAAGAATTAAAGAGTGAATGGTCAAAGAGACTGACAGGAGGAGCAGGGTAAGATGGAGTAATGCCTTCATCATCTGACATAATCAGGCCTGATGGTTCAGCCCCTGTTGATTCTAAGTCCGATGAGGCTTCATCAATGATATCTGGAGATTGGGAATGATATATGGACTGTGGAGGTGCTGTGGGTGACTGTGTAGTGGTAGAAGCCATGAACTGAGCCACGGCTTGAGCTATCATGGCCTGAAGTTGCTCAGGATTTAAGGTCTGAGCTTCAGGTGAGCGGAGCCCCGCTGCAGTGGGAGTGAATGTAGCCTGAGGTCCCAAAGTAATAGTGTCCTGATCAGCTGCACCTTATGTCCTTGGAACAGCCCTTGTGACTGATTCAGATTGAGAACTTCACCTGGGGGGAGACCAGGCCCCTGGGGCCAAGGCACAATGTGAAGAAAGGGGTTCAAAGATGGACCTTCCTGTTGTGGTGGTGCCTGTCTGACCTGGGGAAACTGCCCTCAACCTGTGGGACTCATCCTCCAACATATGCTGACTATTGGTTTCCTTGATTGACTTGGCTCGTTTTGAGGCATTTTTCCCCCCCTGCCTCCGTAGCATGTTTCCTTTTGGCTGGTTCGGTGGAAGCTTTTTTTTGCCATGCTGAGTGATTGTTGAATACACCTTGAGGGCTCAACCTCAGCGAAAATGCCCCCCCTCAGCATTGTAATATCATTGAGGGAGCCCAGCAGAGACAATCTGGCCCAGGTGAGGGGGGGCAGTGGGGGTTAATGATAGGCAGTGCGTCCTTCCGGAACGAGCTTGCCCTCCCCAATTCAGTCAGGGTTCGTAAGAATGACAGTAGTCAGTCAAAATGGCAGCCACAGTTTCAAACACGTCAAAAAACTGTCCTTTGGAATGTTCCTGCAGGCAGTTAGGTCTCAGTGGTTGTTCAAAATGGCGGCCGCAGCTGCCTCAAAATGGTGGCCGCAACCGTCTGCATGCCAAAATGACCATTGAGGGAGAGGCCTGCGAGGTCTGAAGCCTTAATTGCAATGAGCCCTCATTCTGAAGAAACGCTTGGGCTCCTAATGCGGCTGAGGGTAATTGAGATGATCAGCTGGGCAGCGGTGCTGAAATAACCGGCAGCTTGCCGTTTGGAGATTCCCCCTTTTCTGGTAACGTCTGCTGTGGCTGAGGGACCTTAAAATGATCCCTCCAGGCCTGACGACATGCGTTGCCACTTGCGGATCCCCCCTGACGATCGGCAAGGCTTACCCTCATCTCTGGAGTCCCGGGAAGTCAGAGAGGCTTCTCTCCGTGAAACGGATCTTCCGACGAACAGCTGACTGTGAGGGAGATCGTCTGGGCGGCAGTTTAAAATTCGGAGGCCCCCGATGAAGAGCTGGTTGGTGGGGATCGTGAAAACGACTGTTTAAAGCTGTTTAATTCACGAAGTGAAAGTTCTCTGAAATGAGTTGAAAGCGAAGGGCATGCAGGAAGGTGCCGAGCCTGTCAGCCCAGCCGGGCAGCCAGGCTTGAGGAGGAGTGAACTCCAGATAATGGAAAAAAAGTTTAAATATATAAAATAATCAATAATGAAATAATTAGTCTAAATCAAAGTGAATGAGAAATTACTGCAGTCTTCTGCTCCAGGAACGAAGAAAAAACGCGTCTTTAGAGCAAAGAGACCAAGTCTAAAACTGGGTGCAATTGGCACAGCAGGGGTGGTAGTAAGATTCAGACTTAGTCTAATTGGAGCAGATAGATTAAGAAAACCCATCTGTGGGTTCTCCATCCAATCATGCTGGAGAATGCCATATTCTGTGAATCTCACTTCTGAGGAAAATCCTTTTTTCCCTTTTTCTTTGTGACAGGCAGATCAGGAAGATCCTCCTGCAGTTTTCTCTATTCATCAGACACATACAGTGAAGAAAACACAAAGCCAAAATTATTCAGTATACTTCGTTTTGGAAAAAAATTCCAGAAAATTTCTCCTATGATCCTATTTGTGACATAATGTACCATCATCACAGAAAGAGCTAGATTTTTTTTTTAAAAAGGTTGAGCTTTTCATCCTTCTCCAGGTTGTTGGGGGAAATATGCTGACTCTGTAAACCACTTAGAGAGGGCTGTAAAGCACTATGAAGCAGTATATAAGTCTAAGTGCTATTGCTATTTGTACTAAAATATATTCAGTCAATTTATTAATCGGGCTCAAAATACACCATGGGATGGTCTTTACAGGTAATTTTCGAAATTACAGCCATGCCGGTCATTAAGTGGGTAACCATGTGACCACACACAATTTTATGACCATTTTTGTGGCAGTTGTTAAGTGAATGCCACATTCATTAAATGATCACTGCAGTCATTAAATGAACCAATGGTTCACTATTAGCCATTTGCCATTGTGATGAAGTCAACACTGAGGTTCTTCGGCAAATCCATCATCCTCAATGAGTGTTTTTTGCCAAAAACTGGAAGTAAACACCAGCAAAAAACCCATAATTGTAGTCATGTGACTGTGGGATGCTGCAAATAGTTGTAAATGTGGGACAGTTGCTCATTGCCCAAAATGTGACCACATGACTATGGTAGGAGGGCAACCATCAGAACTTTGAATCCAAGTAATAAGTAGCTATGGGGAGGTCTGTCATAAATTTGAAAGAGTTGCTAAGCAACTGTTGAAAGTAAAGGACTTCCTGTATTATTCAGAGAACCCATCTTATTTGACTTTGTTAATCAAGTACTTCAGTTCTCAAGAGATTGAGATTAAAAAAATGAATTATAATGAAATACAGTAAAGTTCCAGTGGAACTGGAATAATCTCCATGGAGTAGATTCATATTATTTTTATTATCTTTTGTAATCTTTAGTGCTTCTGCACACAGCAAAGAAGCAACTGCCAATATTTGGGAGAAGAAAAAGCAAGGATAAGTGGCTTTGGATCTAATCACAGTTAGCTAGGAGGATCAAGACAGTATAATTTAGATTTAGTGAAAATATATTTCGCACCAAAAAGAACAGTTGGTATTATCAACTAAAAGGCCTTCAGTAAATTCCATGGAACAAACAATGTCTACCTGAGGTCTTGTGGAGATCATTAACCTGGATGGCACTTTGCACGATACGTAAGGCAATTCCTCTTCCAATTTCAAAAACTTACTCACAAAATCATGTCTTCTCATTTATAAGCCAGCCACCTTTGAATGATGACACTGAAATTAGGGAGTCCAAAGTAATTTGCCACAGGAAAGTCAAGAATAGGATAACATTTTAATTTGACGGGTTTTGAAATTGTTAATAAGGTAAAATATCTGGGGGTGATGTTATCTGTTTCTAATGCAAAATTATTTAAAAATAACTATGAAAGGTTGTGGGTTAGGGTACAGAAAGACTTGAAGAATTGGGAGAAGTTGCAATTATCCCTTATGGGAAGAATTGCAGTGATAAAAATGAATATTCTACCCAAGTTTCTCTTTTTGTTTCAAATGCTACCGATTTTGAAGAATGAGATTAATTTAAGCGAATGGCAGAAAGGCCTTAACAAATTTATTTGGGCAGGGAAAAAGCCAAGGGTTAAGTTTAAAATTATGCAAGACTTCCGTGAGAGGGGTGGACTCAAGGCACCGAATTTGAAATTATACTATGATGCGGTGGTTTTAACACTAATCAGTGACTGGGTAAATTTGACAAATCCTGAGATACTCCATCTAGAGGGATGGGATTTACTTTTTGGGTGGCATGCCTATTTAATATTTAATAAAAAATGGATTGGGTTTTTAAAGCTCATATTTTAAGAATTTCTTTACTTAGGACTTGGAGAAAATATTATAAAAGTGATTTTAAAGTACCATTATGGGCTATACCTTGGCATGCGATAGAAGGAATAAAAAGGGGTGCTAAAATGGATATGGTGTCTTATAGACAGTTACTTAGATGGGATGGACAAAACTGGCAGTTAAAATCACGGGAAGAGTTAGCACAAGAAAATATTATTTATTCTTGGTTCCAATATAGGCAATTAGTAGATAGATGGAAGGTGGATTGTAAGGTGGGTATTCTTAGAGAAGATGAAAATTTTATTAAGCAAGTGAAGGATCAAAGACAAACCCACATTAAGAGGATTTATGGGATTTTAGTTGAATTGGATTCAGAAACGGAACTAATTAAAGATTGTATGATCAGATGGGCGCAGAACTTTGGTGAGCCAGTTTCATTGGACACCTGGGAAACCATCTGGGTCAGAAATGTCAAATTTACACAAGCACAGAATTTAAGGGAGAATTTTTATAAAATGTTTTATAGATGGCACCTTGATCCACAAAAAATGTCTCTTATGTATCCTGACTTACAACCTAAATGTTGGAGATGTGGTTGCATGGATGCTACTTATTATCACATTTGGTGGTCGTGCAGAGAGATAAAAGCATTTTGGATTAAGATATGGTGGAATATCCAGAGAATTTTTAGAAGGAGGGTAAAATTTACTCCGCAATTATTTTTGTTGGGTATAGTTACTGATTGTGATACAAAGGAGGTTATATTGATGTTAAATTTGATTACAGCTGCGAGGCTGTTAGTAGGACAATTTTGGAAGAAGGAATCTTTGCCTACATTGCAGGAATGGTTTCTTAAAGTGTCTCATTTGGCGGAAATGGCAAAGATTTCGGCTTTTTTAAAGGAACAAACGCAAGAGAAATTTCTTGCTGTTTGGGATAAGTGGATAAAATTTATACAATTTAAACTGGATATAAAAAAATATTATATAGCCTTTTCATAATCTTCATTTATATATATATATATATGTTTTAATGTTATATTTTCCTTTTTTATAAATATAATTTTTTTAATTGTTTTTTAATTAAGCCTATATTCTGCTCTGGGAAGCTCTGGGGGGGGGAAGGGGGGATGTTTGGGTGGGGGGTGGGGAAAGGGGGTTTTGTTATGTAATGTTTAGTTTTTTTTGTATATGTTGTTTTTTGTCTTTGTATGGTTTTGTTCTTTTTGTAAAACTTATAAAACTTTTTAATTAAAAAAAAAAGAATAGGATAACATTAATACATACAATTTTTCAAGTTCTTTAAGTATGCATGTATGTCTATGGCTTGTAATATGTGAAGCAGGATTTTCCTACAACTATGCTTTATTCAGCTAAGTCTCTGTTTTCATATTTTGATAGTCATTAGGTTAATGGGCACAGGGAATCCTTTTCAAATATCAGAAGAACATATATAACTAAGAATCTTCCTCTGACACCCATTGAATTTCCGGTTCTTTCTCACTGTTTTGCCTCAACACAAGCAGGTAGTATGATATGATCCTTCTGGATGGCTGAGGGACCTTTTAGAGGTACAGAAAGGTAAGACATTCTGCCATTTGGAAGTTGGTTGATAGAGAATAGAATCTGATTTTGTCAGAAAGGCTTACATGGGGGAAGATATTGTTTTTAATTAGGTAGAAATTCATCAGTACCTCTGAAAGAACTAAGCATTGTGTTCAAAAGCCTGAATGACTGCTGCTATAGCTGAGTATAGCCGACTGATGCTGTAGTCAGCTATATGCTTACCTGTTCACAATGGTGGTTAAAGCATGCAATCTTGGCATAGTATGGCAAACTTAGTAAGAAGGTGCCATTCCACTAAGCTAAGTGGGATAAGATTTGTGGTCTACCATATTTGTGGTCTTGTGCTATGATGCAAGATTCCTACCGGGGCTTGTCCTAGCAAGATAGTTCAGGTTTTATTGTGTTCGCATCTCCAGCAAAGTACAAGACCCCCACTGTATAACCCAGTCATAATGTTTCAATTTTTGCATGGTTACTGATATCTCTGCAGTGGAGGCTCAGAAATTCAAGCTTCTGGCTTTTATAGTTGAAGGATGAGACGCCCAGGATTTCTTCTCATCCTGCAGTGTTTGAAGTGATCTGTAAGGGTTAAATTTGCCAATGTAACTGGATGGGTTGAGTGAAGATGATGCTATTACGGAATGTAGAATAACAGAGTTGGGATCTTGGAGGTCTTCTGGTCCAGCGTCCTGCTCAAGCAGGTGGCCCTATACCATTTGAGACAAATGGCTGTCCAATCTCTTCTTAAAAGCCTCCAGTGATGGAGGACCCACAATTTCTCAAGCTAGGCAGTTGCACTGATTGACTGTTCTGACTGATCAAATCAAATGACACAACTTTTATGGTTCTTTAAGTAAAGGGCACCCAAACAGACAACAAGCACGTGAGTAGGATGCAAGAAAAGCTCCCTGTAGCAAGAAATAGTATGAAATATTTCTCCATTCTCAGCCACCTAGGTTTAATCATTGCAATTTCTAGTTTCTGCAAATTTTAGTCCCACTTTAGGCATAAAAGCCAGCTGGGTGACTTTGGACCATTCCCTTTCTCTCAGCCGAACTCACCTCACAGGATTGGCGTTGTGGGGAAAATAGAAAGAAGGAGTATTAGATATGTTTGTTGGCTTGAGTTATTTGTAAAAAAAAATAAAAATAAAATAAAGGCAGGATATAAATACATAAATACATAATCTCATGAAAAATGATTTAGAAATTCCTTTGGCATAGTGATTTTACATGAAGCAAAACTATCATTTGCTTAATTTTTGTATTAAATCTCATCTAGTAGCTAATATATTATTTCCAAATGTTCTCTACATACAATTTTGTTAAAAGAACTTGTTTCCCAGAAAGATTCCTGATTAAAGGAACCCCTAAAGGTCTGCAACAAATTGTCATGACTATTTAAGCTTGGTTACTGCCTGCAACAGTCTTCTATGGGTATCCTATTTTTTAAAAAGCATTGTCTCGTTTCAAAAGAATCTCACTACCTTTCAACAACTTCTTTTATCCTACAGGTAGTAAGCCAGATGGGAGCTGAGAACTTCACCTCTGTTAAAGAATTCATGTTGGTGGGACTCACAAGTCATCGAGGGACCCAGCTTCTGCTCTTTGGGGTGCTCCTTGTCATCTACTTGCTTATCCTTTTTGGCAACCTGCTGATCATCACATTGGTGTGGGCTGATTCCCAGCTACATACTCCCATGTATTATTTTCTTAGCAATCTTGCTGCAATGGAAATTGGGTTGGTCACCAGCACGCTGCCTCAGATGTTGGCTCATCTGGTCACTGGGAATGGCATTCTCTCCTTAACACGTTGCATGCTGCAAGGTTATATTGCATTGAACATAGGCAGTGCTGAAAGTTTGCTATTAGGTGTCATGGCCTATGACCGTTACTTGGCCATCTGCTCTCCCTTATTATATGCTACAGCCATGAGCAAGTTGCACCAGGTCCTGCTTGTCAGCACATGTTGGATAATTGGCTTTGCATTTTCCATGGTTTATGCTGTCAGTACTTTTCGTCATTCCTTCTGTGGTTCTAATCTCATTAATCACTTCACGTGTGAGCTGCCTATTGTGCTGAAACTTGCATGTGGTGACATAAAAATGACTAAAGTAATTGTCTCTGGTCTATCAGCATTCATGGTCTTCATTCCCCTTTCAATCATCTTGTCTTCCTATGGATTCATTCTGCATTCTGTATTACACATGAGGTCAAGTGCAGGAAGGAGTAAGGCCTTCTCCACTTGTGGGTCCCACCTCACTGTAGTCACCTTGTTCTATGGCACCGTTATTTCTATGTACATTATCCCCCACCCAGATTCAGGTCCTTCTCACAATAAGGAAATGACTGTCTGTTACCTAGTAGTTACTCCCTTGCTTAACCCTGTCATTTATACCTTGCGGAACAAGGAGATTCATTCAGCAGTGATCAAGATGGTGAGAAGATGGGGCTTTGAACAATGAACATGACCACTGACATCTTGCTGGATTGATATTTTGTGATGTTTTCTTGAAGAAGAGGGAGGCTGACTATAAAAATAATACCACCCTATTTTAACATTCCCAATCTTTTTAGAGATGATAAGGTGGAAAAGCAGGCTGGACTGTAGAAATGACCTTGAAGAAAATATGTGGCACTTATCAGCAAAACATGAACAGATCCCAGGAAAACAGGAATATGTGAGGAAAGGAACTCAAGATTGGTCCATAGTAATACTTTTTGGTGTAAGAGAAAGAAAAGGGAAATGCTGTCATGTTTTCAAGGTATAAACACCCTGTATCAATAAAGTAGAATTCTAATATTTCTTGTAAACTCTTTTCCTTCACTTGGTCTACTGACAAAGAGATGTGACAAGATTGTTTTTGTGCTTTTGAGTAAGTCTTGATTCCTGGTGACTACATGAACAAGTCCATGCAGTTTTCCTAGCAATATTTTTCATCAATGATTGTCATTGCCTTTTTCCTAGGACTGAGAGAGAGTAACTGCTCCAAGTCATCCAGCTGGCTTCATGCTGAAGGCTGAACTAGAACTCACAGTTTCCCAGTTTCTAGCCTGATGCCTTAACCAATACACCTAACTGGTTCTTGGTGAAATGATACATTTCTCCATTGTTGTTCTTGTTGTTAATTGCAAAGTCGTGTCTGACCCATCGCGACCCCATGGACAACGTTCTTCCAGGTCTTCCTGTCCTCTACTATCTTCTGGAGTCCATTTAAGTTCACACCTACTGCTTCAGTGACTCCATCCAGCCATCTCATTCTCTGTCGTCCCCTTCTTCTATTGCCCTCAATCTTTCCCAGCATTAGGCCCTTCTCCAGTGAGTCCTTCCTTCTCATTAGGTGGCCAAAGTATTTGAGTTTCAACTTCAGGATCTGGCCTTCTAAAGAGCAGTCGGGGTTGATCTCTTCTAGGACTGACCGGTTTGAACGCCTTGCAGTCCAAGGGACTCGCAGGAGTCTTCTCCAGCACCATAGTTCAAAGGCTTCAATTCTTTGTCGCTCAGCCTTTCTTATGGTCCAACTTTCACAGCCATACATTGCAACTGGGAAAACCATGGCCTGGACTATACACACTTCTGTTGGCAGGGTGATGTCTCTGCTTTTTAGTATGCTGTCTAGATTTGCCATAGCTTTCCTCCCCAGGAGCAAGCATCTTTTAATTTCTTGGCTGCAGTCCCCATCTGAGGTGATCTTGGAGCCCAGAAAAATAAAATCTGTCACTACCTCCATTTCTTTCCCATCTATTTGCCAGGAATTGAGAGGGCCGGATGCCATGATTTTGGTTTTCTTAATGTTGAGTTTCAAGCCAACTTTTGCACTCTCCTTCATCGGGCATTTTCCCCCAGAGCGCATCCAATTGAGAAGAAGAGGAGAGGGATAAGCAAGTAGAAAGATGGGGGAGAGAGGGAGGAGAGGAGGAGAGTGAGGAAGTAGAAGGAAAGGGGAAGTGAAGAGATGAGAGGGGGATGCGGTTTGGGGGGAAGTGGGTGAGCAATGTCGGAATTTGTGTATTGTATTTTAACTTGTTATGTATCTGAATTTTTTTTCTTATGATTGTAATGAAAATAAAATAATAAATTTTTAAAAAAGAGGCTCTTTAGTTCCTCTTCACTTTCTGCCATTAGAGTGGTATCATCTGTCTTTACACAAAGGGAAAAAAACAGACCAACCTATCAAAAATAGTGTCATAAAAAAAACAAAATAGAAACACAAGTTAAGATAGGCAAGAAAATAGTAAGTGAGCACCTGTTCAGCCAAGATTAGTTCAAATCACCAGGACCAGATGGATTACACCCGAAGGTTCTCAAGGAACTGGCAGATGTGATATCGGAACCACTGAACTATATCTTTCAAAGATCCTGGAACACAGGGGAACTACCAGAGGACTGGAAAAGAGCTGATGTAGTTCCCATCTTCAAAAAAGGAAAAAAATGGATCCAGGAAATTACAGACCTATCAGCCTGACCTCAATATCTGGGAAGATCCTGGAAAAGATAATCAAACAACGAATCAACGAACACCTAGAGGCAAACAAAGTCATTACTAAAAGCCAACATGGGTTTGTCAAAAATAGATCATACCAGACAAATCTTATTGCATTCTTTGACCAAGTGACAAAATTAGTGGATCAGAGGAATGCTGTGGACATAATTTACTTGGACTTCAGTAAGGCATTTGATAAAGTAGATCACAACCTACTACTTGATAAGATAGAAAAATGTGGGGTAGACAGAATCACCACCAGATGGATCCGTAGCTGGCTGACCGGCCGTACTCAGCGAGTGGTCCTCAGTGGAACTGCATCTATACGGAGGGAAGTGTGTAGTGGGGTGCTCCAGGGCTCTGTTCTTGGCCCATTGCTCTTCAACATCTTCATCAACGATTTGGACGAAGGGATAGATGGGGAACTCATCAAATTTGCAGATGACACCAAGCTGGCAGGAATAGCCAACACTCCAGAAGACAGGCTTAGGAGACAGAAGGATCTGGACAGACTTGAACACTGGGCACTAACTAACAAAATGAAATTCAATGGTGAAAAAAGGAAGGTTCTACATTTAGGCAAGAAAAACCAAATGCACAAGTACAGCATAGGTGGCACCATGCTCAATAGTAGTAATTGTGAGAGGGACCTCGGAGTCCTAGTAGACAATCACCTAATATGAGCCAGCAGTGTGCTGCAGCTGCCAAAAAGGCCAACACAGTGCTAGGCTGCATTAACAGAGGGATAGAATCAAGATCACGTGAAGTATTAATACCACTCTACCATGCCTTGGTAAGGCCACACTTGGAATACTGCATCCAGTTTTGGTCACCACAATGTAAAAAAGATGTTGAGACTCTAGAAAGAGTACAGAGAAGAGCAACAAAGATGATTAGGGGACTGGAGGCTAAAACATATAAGGAACGGTTGCGAGAATTGGGTATGTCTAGTTTAACGAAGAGAAGGACAAGGGGGGACATGATAGCAGTATTCCAATATCTCAGGGGCTGCCATAAAGAAGAGGGAATTAAGCTATTTTCCAAAGCACCTGAAGGCAGGACAAGAAGCAACGGGTGGAAACTAATCAAGGAGAGAAGCAAACTAGAACTAAGGAGAAACCTCCTGACAGCGAGAACAATTAATCAGTGGAACAGCCTGCCTCCAGAAGAAGTAAATGCTCCAACACTGGAAGTTTTTAAGAAGAGACTGGACATCCATTTGTCCGAAAAGGTGTAGGGCTTCCTGCCTGAGCAGGGGGTTGGACTAGATGATCTCCAAGATCCCTTCCAACTTTACTACTACTATATTATATTATATTAATAATTAAACTATTATATCTGCATATTGTTGATATTTCTCCCAGCAATCCTAATTCCAACTTTTGTTTCATCTAGCCCTGCCTTTCTCATGATGTGCTCTGCATATAAGTTAAATAGGCAGGGCAACAGTATACAGCCTTGCCGGACTCCTTTTCCAATTTTGACCCAATTAGTGGTTCTGTGTCCAGTTCTCACTGTTGCTTCTTGACCCGCATATAGGTTTCTCAAGAGACAAATAAGATGGTCTGGTATTTCCATCTCTTTAAGAATTTGCCACAATTTGTTGTGATCCACACAATCAAAGGCTTTAGCATAGTCAATGAAGCAGAAGTAGATGTTTTTCTGGAACTCCCTAGCTTTCTCCATGATCCAGCGTATGTTGGCAATTTGATCTCTAGTTCCTCTGCCTCTTTGAAATCCTGCCTGTACTTCTGGTAGTTCTCAGTTCACATACTGCTGGAGTCTAGCTTGTAGGATTTTAAGCATAACTTTACTAGCATGTGAAATGAGTGCAATGGTGCGATAGTTTGAACATTCTTTGGCATTGCCTTTCTTTGGAATTGGAATGTAAACTGACCTTTTCCAATCCTGTGGCCACTGATGAGTTTTCCAAATTTGCTGGCAAATTGAGTGTAGCACTTTTACTGCATCGTCTTTTAAGATTTTGAATAGCTCAGCTGGAATACTGTCACCTCCACTAGCTTTGTTGTTGCTCAGATTTTCTAAGGCCCATTTCACTTCACATTCTAGGATGTCTGGTTCGAGGTCAGTGACCATCTCATTGTGGTTATCTGGGATGTTAAGCTCATTCTTGTATAGTTCTTCTGTGTAGTTTTGCCATCTCTTCTTAATCTCTTCTGCCTCTGTTAGGTCCCTGCCATTTTGGTCCTTTATCATGCCCATCTTTGCATGAAACGTTCCCTTCATATCTCCAATTTTCTTGAAGAGATCTCTGGTCCTCCCTATTCTGTTGTTTTCTTCTATTTCTTTGCACTGTTCATTTAAGAAGGCATTCTTATCTCTTCTAGCTATTCTCTGGAATTCTGCATTCAATTGGGTGTATCTTTCTCTTTCTCCTTTGCCTTTTGCTTCCCTTCTTTCCTCAGCTATTTGCAAAGCTTCCTCAGACAGCCATTTTGCTTTCTTGCATTTCTTTTTCTTTGGGATGGTTTTAGTTGCTACCTCTTGTACAGTGTTGCGAACTTCCATCCATAGTTCTTCAGGCACTCTGTCTATCAGATCTAATTCCTTAAATCTATTTGTCACTTCTACTGTATATTCATCAGAAATATGATTTAGTTCATACCTGAGTGGCCTAATGCTTTTCCCTACTTTTTTCAATTTAAGCCTAAATTTTGCAACGAGAAGCTCATGATCTGAGCCACAGTCAGCTCCTGGTCTTGTTTTTACTGACTGTATAGAGCTTCTCCATCTTTGGCTGCAGAGCACATAGTCAATCTGATTTCTATGTGGACTGTCTGGTGATGTCCATGTGTAGAGCCGTCTCTTGGGTTGTTGGAAAAGAGTGTTTGTTATGACCATCGTATTCTCTTGAAAAAATTCTATCAGCCTGTGCCCTGCTTCATTTTGTACTCTAAGGCCAAACTTGCCTGTTATTCCGGTTATCTTTTTTCTTCCTACCTTAGCATTCCAATCCCCCATGATGATAAGGACATCATTTTTTGGTGTTAATTCTATAAGCTGCTGTAGGACTTCATAGAACTGGTCAATTTCATCCTCTTCAGCACCAGTGGTTGGGGCATAGATTTGGACTATTGTGATATTGAATGGTTTGCCTTGAATTCGAATTGAGATCATTCTGTCATTTTGGGGATTGTATCCCAGTATTGCTTTTCCTATTCTTTTATTGACTATGAAGGCTACTCCATTTCTTCTGAGGGATTCTTGCCCACAGTAGTATACCTGATGGTCATCTGAGTTAAATTCACCCATTCCTGTCCATTTTAGTTCGCTGATTCCTAAGATGTCGATGTTCAGTCTTGTCATCTCTTTTTTGACTACGTCTAGCTTGCCTTGATTCATGGATCTTTCATTCCAGGTTCCTATGGAGAAAAAATCTTTACAGCATCGGACTTTCTTTCACCACCAGATATATCCACAGCTGAGCGTCCTTTCGGCTTTGGCCCAGTCGCTTCATTCTTTCTGGCGCTAGTAGTACTAGCCCTCTGCTCTTCCCCAGTAGCATATTGGACACCTTCCGACTTGAGGGGCTCATCTTCCAGTGTCATATCTTTTTGCCTTTTAGTACTGTCCATGGGGTTTTCATGGCAAAGATACTGGAGTGGTTTGCAATTTCCTTCTCCAGTGGATCACATTTTGTCAGAACTCTCTTCTATGACCTGTCCGTCTTGGGTGGCCCTGCACGGCATAGCTTATAGCTTCATTGAGTTACACAAGCACCTTCGCCACGACAAGGCAGTAATCCATAAATGATACATTTATCCATTAGTACAATTCAAATAAAGAGTCATTAGGACACTTCATCATAAGGAAGACAGGGAGAGAGCTAAGAAAAGGAGCTCCATGAATCTGGATAACCACAAAAAAAATGGTTATACTATAAGTATGGTAATAATTTCTGAATCTTTTGGCTATCATCAAGTGGTCACCAGATTTTTGCAAGTTAAAAAAAAAGAACTTGATATTTGTAGAAAGTAAGAAAAAGAAAGGGAAATAAAACACATTAAACCAAATGAAAAGAGAGAAACGTGATCTTTGTTAAAATAAGCATGAAGTTTTGTGAAGTATCTATAAATAGAACCAGTTAATATTTAACACAAATTGTTCATTCAGTATTGTTGTTCAAAGTTTGAATTTTTGTCAATCAACATTTACTCTAAGTAAACGAAAGATTAACATAATTTCCTACTACTCCAGCTAAGATTATACTTCCAAAACAATGAATGTGACAGTGGTTATAATCTTAGTACTATACCTTTAGAATTATCATTTTGGGGAGTTGGTAGAGATATTTTAAATAATTTGTCTATTCTCAAAACAAAAATAGAAAATTTATAGTACTGTCAGTGCAATACTAAATATATTTAGTACCTCGCGGGCATGGAAATTGGCTACTTTGCCCCAAATGTTAAGTCAACTTTTGACTGGAAATGGTGTCATTTCCTTAGCACGATGTGTGACCCAGAGTTATATTGCTCTGACCATGGGTAATACAGAATGTTTGTTGCTGGGAGTTATGGCTTATGACCGCTACATTGCCATCTGCCATCCACTGATATATGCCTCTTCCATGGACAGGATGCACCAGCGACTGCTTGCCACATCCTGTTGGACCATAGGCTGTCTCTTCTCAGTTGTATATGTTCATCATCCATTCTGTGGCCCCAATCACATTAACCATTTCATTTGTGAGCTGCCTGTTGTGTTAAAACTTGCATGTGATGACACCACTATAACTAAAGCCGTTGTTTTTGGTTTATCGGCATTCATTGTTCTGGTTCCCCTTTTAGTCAGCCTGTCTTCCTATGGTTTAATTCTGTATTCTGTATTGGACATGAGGTCAACTACTGGATGGCATAAAGTTTTCTTCACATGTGGCTCCCACCTTATGGTGGTTACCTTGTTCTATGGTACCGTTATTTCTATGTACATCATCCCCCATTCAGACACAGGTCAAGATCATGGTAAGCAAATTGCAGTCTTTTATGTTGTGGTGACACCTCTTCTGAATCCCATTATTTATACTCTGAGAAACAAGGAAGTCCATAAAGCAGCACTCAAAATCCTGAAGGACTTTGGCTTAATAGCATGAGCATTCTCATGTTGCTAAATATATATTTTAGAATGAGGTGGGTTTGTTCATTGAACTCTAAGGTTTGTGTGTGTGTGTGTGTGTGTGGGTGAGAGAGAGAGAGAGAGAGAGAGAGGGAGTGAGAGAGAGAGAGAGAGAGAGAGAGAGAGAGAGAGAGAGAGAGAGAGAGAGAGAGACTATGTGTGTTGTATTGCAGTGTATAATCCTATTATAACTGTGTATAATCCCATTATAACAAGATGAATTATTAGTGATTTTAGATATGCTGGAAAATGTTGGGAATACTGAGGAGGAAATACAATGGAAGAAAATGTCATATTCTGTGAATCTCACTTCTGAGGAAAATTCCTTTTTTCCCTTTTTCTTTGCGACAGGCAGATCAGGCAGATCCACCTGCAGTTTTCCCTATTCATCAGATACATACAGTGAAGAAAACACAAACCCAAAATTATTCAGTACATTTAGTTTTGGAAAAAAATTCCAGAAAATTTCTCCTATGATCCTACGTGTGACATAATGTACCATCATCACAGAAAGAGCTAGATTTTTTTTTTAAAAAAAGGTTGAGCTTTTCATCCTTCTCCAGATTGTTGGGGGAAATATGCTGACTCTGTAAACCACTCAGAGAGGGCTGTAAAGCACTATGAAGCAGTATATAAGTCTAAGTGCTAATGCTATTTGTACTAAAATATATTCAGTCAATTTATTAATCGGGCTCAAAATACACCATGGGATGGTCTTTATAGGTAATTTTCGAAATTACAGTCATCCTGGTCATTAAGTGGGTAACCATGTGACGACACACAATTTTATGACCATTTTTGTGGCAGTTGTTAAGTGAATGCCACAGTCATTAAATGATCACTGCAGTTATTAAATGAACCAATGGCTCACTATTAGCCATTTGCCATTGTCATGAAGTCAACACTGAGGTTCTTCGGCAAATCCATCATCCTCAATGAGTGTTTTTTGCCAAAAACTGGAAGTAAACACCAGCAAAAAACCCATAAATTGTAGTCATGTGACTGTGGGATGCTGCAAATAGTTGTAAATGTGGGACGGTTGCTCAGTGCCCAAAATGTGATCACATGACTATGGTAGGGGGGCAACAATCAGAACTTTGAATCTAAGTAATAAGTAGCTATGGGGAGGTCTGTCATAAATTTGAAAGGGTTGCTAAGCAACTGTTGAAAGTGAAGGACTTCCTGTATTATTCAGAGAACCCATCTTATTTGACTTTGTTAATCAAGTACTTCAGTTCTCAAGAGATTGAGATTAAAAAAATGAATTATAATGAAATACAGTAACGTTCCAGTGGAACTGGAATAATCTCCATGGAGTAGATGCATATTATTTTTATTATCTTTTGCAATCTTTAGTGCTTCTGCACACAGCAAAGCAGCAACTGCCAATATTTGGGAGAAGAAAAAGCAAGGATAAGTAGCTTTGGATCTAACCACAGGTAGCTGCTAGGAGGATCAAGACAGTACAACTTAGATTTACTGAAAATATACTTCGCACCAAAAAGAAGAGTTGGTATTATCAACTAAAAGGCCTTCAGTAAATTCTATGGAACAAACAATGTCTACCTGAGGTCTTGTGGAGATCATTAACCTGGATGGCACTTTGCACGATACGTAAGGCAATTCCTCTTCCAATTTCAAAAACTTACTCACAAAATCATGTCTTCTCATTTATAAGCCAGCCACCTTTGAATGATGGCACTGAAATTAGGGAGTCCAAAGTAATTTGCCACAGGAAAGTCAAGAATATGATAACATTAATACATACAATTTCTCAAGTTCTTTAAGTATGCATGTAATATGTGAAGCAGGATTTTCCTACAACTATGCTTTATTCAGCTAAGTCTCTGTTTCATAAGTTGGTAGTCATTAGGTTAATGGGCACAGGGAATCCTTTTCAAATATCAGAAGAATGTATTATAGAACAACTAAGAATCTTCTTCTGACAACCCATTGAATTTCTGGATCTTTCTCACTGTTTTGCCTCAACACAAGCAGGTAGTGTGATGTGATCCTACTTGATGGCTGAAGGACCTCTTAGAGGTACAGAAAGGTAAGACATTTTGCCATTTGGAAGTTGGTTGATAGAGAATAGAATCTGATTTTGTCAGAAAGGCTTACATGGGGGAAGATATTGTTTTTAATTAGGTGGAAATTCATCGGTATCTCTGAAAGAACTAAGCATTGTGTTCAAAAGCCTGAATGACTGCTGCTATAGCTGACTATAGCCGACTGATGCTTCAGTCAGCTATATGCTTACCTGTTCACAATGGTGGTTAATGCATGCAATCTTGGCATAGTATGGCCAACATGGTAAGAAGGTGCCATTCCATTAAGCTAAGTGGGATAAAATATGTGGTCTACCAAATTTGTGGTCTTGTGCTTTGATGCAAGACTCCTACCGGGGCTTGTCCTAGCAAGATAGTTCAGGTTTTATTGTGTTTGCATCTCCAGCAAAGTACAAGACCCCCATTGTATAACCTAGTCATGATGTTTCAATTTTTGCATGGTTACTGATATCTCTGCAGTGGAGGCTCAGAAATTCAAGCTTCTGGCTTTTATAGTTGAAGGATGAGACGCCCAGGATTTCTTCTCATCCTGCAGTGTTTGAAGTGATCTGTAAGGGTTAAATTTGCCAATGTAACTGGACGGGTTGAGTGAAGATGATGCTATTACGGAATGTAGAATAACAGAGTTGGGATCTTGGAGATCTTCCGGTCCAACGTCCTGCTCAAGCAGGTGGCCCTATACCATTTGAGACAAATGGCTGTCCAATCTCTTCTTAAAAGCCTCCAGTGATGGAGGACCCACAATTTCTCAAGCTAGGCAGTTGCACTGATTGACTTTTCTCACTGATCCAATCAAATGACACAACTTTTATGGTTCTTTAAGTAAAGGGCACCCAAACAGACAACAGGCATGTGAGTAGGATGCAAGAAAAGCTCCCTGTAGCAAGAAATAGTATGAAATATTTCTCCATTCTCAGCCACCTAGGTTTAATCATTGCAATTTCTAGTTTCTGCAAATTTTAGTCCCACTTTAGGCATAAAAGTAAGCTGGGTGACTTTGGACCAGTCCCTTTCTCTCAGCCAAACTCACCTCACAGGATTGGCATTGTGGGGAAAATAGAAAGAAGGAGTATTAGATATGTTTGTTGGCTTGAGTTATTTGTAAAAAAAAAATAAAAATAAAATAAAGGCAGGATATAAATACATAAATACATAATCTCATGAAAAATGCTTTAGAAATTCTTTTGGCATAGTGATTTTACATGAAGCATCATTTGTTTAATTTTTGTATTAAATCTCATCTAGTAGCTAATATATTATTTCCAAATGCTCTCTACATACAATTTTGTTAAAAGAACTTGTTTCCCAGAAAGATTCCTGACTAAAGGAACCCCTAAAGGTCTGCAACAAATTGTCATGACTATTTAAGCCTTGGTTACTGCCTGCAACAGTCTTCTATGGGTATCCTATTTTTTAAAAAGCATTGTCTCGTTTCAAAAGAATCTCACTACCTTTCAACAACTTCTTTTATCCTACAGGTAGTAAGCCAGATGGGAGCTGAGAACTTCACCTCTGTTAAAGAATTCATGTTGGTGGGACTCACAAGTCATCGAGGGACCCAGCTTCTGCTCTTTGGGGTGCTCCTTGTCATCTACTTGCTTATCCTTTTTGGCAACCTGCTGATCATCACATTGGTGTGGGCTGATTCCCAGCTACATACTCCCATGTATTATTTTCTCAGCAATCTTGCTGCAATGGAAATTGGGTTGGTCACCAGCACGCTGCCTCAGATGTTGGCTCATCTGGTCACTGGGAATGGCGTTCTCTCCTTAACACGTTGCATGCTGCAAGGTTATATTGGATTGAACATAGGCAGTGCTGAAAGTTTGCTATTAGGTGTCATGGCCTATGACCGTTACTTGGCCATCTGCTCTCCCTTATTATATGCTACAGCCATGAGCAAGTTGCACCAGGTCCTGCTTGTCAGTACATGTTGGATAATTGGCTTTGCATTTTCCATGGTTTATGTTGTCAGTACTTTTCGTCATTCCTTCTGTGGTTCTAATCTTATTAATCACTTCGCGTGTGAGCTGCCTATTGTGCTGAAACTTGCTTGTGGTGACATAAAAATGACTAAAGTAATTGTTTCTGGTCTGTCAGCATTCATGGTCTTCATTCCCCTTTCAATCATCTTGTCTTCCTATGGATTCATTCTGCATTCTGTATTACACATGAGGTCAAGTGCAGGAAGGAGTAAGGCCTTCTCCACTTGTGGATCCCACCTCACTGTAGTCACCTTGTTCTATGGTACTGTTATTTCTATGTACATTATCCCCCACTCAGATTCAGGTCCTTCTCACAATAAGGAAATGACTGTCTGTTACCTAGTAGTTACTCCCTTGCTTAACCCTGTCATTTATACTTTGCGCAACAAGGAGATTCATTCAGCAGTGATCAAGATGGTGAGAAGATGGGGCTTTGAACAATGAACATGACCACTGACATCTTGCTGGATTGATATTTTGTGATGTTTTCCTGAAGCAGAGGGAGGCTGACTATAAAAATAATACCACCCTATTTTAACATTCCCAATCTTTTTTAGAGATGATAAGGTGGAAAAGCAGGCTGGACTGTAGAAATGACCTTGAAGAAAATATGTGGCACTTATCAGCAAAACATGAACAGATCCCAGGAAAACAGGAATATGTGAGGAAAGGAACTCAAGATTGGTCCATAGTAATACTTTTTGGTGTAAGAGAAAGAAAAGGGAAATGCTGTCATGTTTTCAAGGTATAAACACCCTGTATCAATAAAGTAGAATTCTAATATTTCTTGTAAACTCTTTTCCTTCACTTGGTCTACTGACAAAGAGATGTGACAAGATTGTTTTTGTGCTTTTGAGTAAGTCTTGATTCCTGGTGACTACATGAACAAGTCCATGCAGTTTTCCTAGCAATATTTTTCATCAATGATTGTCATTGCCTTTTTCCTAGGACTGAGAGAGAGTAACTGCTCCAAGTCATCCAGCTGGCTTCATGCTGAAGGCTGAACTAGAACTCACAGTTTCCCAGTTTCTAGCCTGATGACTTAACCAATACACCTAACTGGTTCTTGGTGAAATGATACATTTCTCCATTGTTGTTGATGTTAATTGCAAAGTCGTGTCTGACCCATCGCGACCCCATGGACAACATTCCTCCAGGTCTTCCTGTCCTCTATCATCTTCTGGAGTCCATTTAAGTTCACACCTACTGCTTCAGTGACTCCATCCAGCCATCTCATTCTCTGTCGTCTCCTTCTTCTACTGCCCTCAATCTTTCCCAGCATTAGGCCCTTCTCCAGTGAGTCCTTCCTTCTCATTATTTGGCCAAAGTATCTGAGTTTCAGCTTCAGGATCTGGCCTTCTAAACAGCAGTCGGGGTTGATCTCTTCTAGGACTGACCGGTTTGAATGCCTTGCAGTCCAAGGGACTCACAGGAGTCTTCTCCAGCACCATAGTTCAAAGGCCTCAATTCTTTGCTGCTCAGCCTTCCTTATGGTCCAACGTTCACAGCCATACATTGCAACTGGGAAAACCATGGCCTGGACTATACGCACCTTTGTTGGCAGGGTGATGTCTCTGCTTTTTAGTATGCTGTCTAGATTTGCCATAGCTTTCCTCCCCAGGAGCAAGCGTCTTTTAATTTCTTGGCTGCAGTCCCCATCTGAGGTGATCTTGGAGCCCAGAAAAATAAAATCTGTCACTACCTCTTCCCCAACTATTTGCCAGGAATTGAGAGGGCCGGATGCCATGATTTTGGTTTTCTTAATGTTGAGTTTCAAGCCAACTTTTGCACTCTCCTTCATCGGGCATTTTCCCCCAGAGCGCATCCAATTGAGAAGAAGAGGAGAGGGATAAGCAAGTAGAAAGATGGGGGAGAGAGGGAGGAGAGGAGGAGAGTGAGGAAGTAGAAGGAAAGGGGAAGTGAAGAGATGAGAGGGGGATGCGGTTTGGGGGGAAGTGGGTGAGCAATGTCGGAATTTGTGTATTGTATTTTAACTTGTTATGTATCTGAATTTTTTTTCTTATGATTGTAATGAAAATAAAATAATAAATTTTTAAAAAAGAGGCTCTTTAGTTCCTCTTCACTTTCTGCCATTAGAGTGGTATCATCTGTCTTTACACAAAGGGAAAAAAACAGACCAACCTATCAAAAATAGTGTCATAAAAAAAACAAAATAGAAACACAAGTTAAGATAGGCAAGAAAATAGTAAGTGAGCACCTGTTCAGCCAAGATTAGTTCAAATCACCAGGACCAGATGGATTACACCCGAAGGTTCTCAAGGAACTGGCAGATGTGATATCGGAACCACTGAACTATATCTTTCAAAGATCCTGGAACACAGGGGAACTACCAGAGGACTGGAAAAGAGCTGATGTAGTTCCCATCTTCAAAAAAGGAAAAAAATGGATCCAGGAAATTACAGACCTATCAGCCTGACCTCAATATCTGGGAAGATCCTGGAAAAGATAATCAAACAACGAATCAACGAACACCTAGAGGCAAACAAAGTCATTACTAAAAGCCAACATGGGTTTGTCAAAAATAGATCATACCAGACAAATCTTATTGCATTCTTTGACCAAGTGACAAAATTAGTGGATCAGAGGAATGCTGTGGACATAATTTACTTGGACTTAAGTAAGGCATTTGATAAAGTAGATCATAACCTACTACTTGATAAGATAGAAAAATGTGGGGTAGACAGAATCACCACCAGATGGATCCGTAGCTGGCTGACCGGCCGTACTCAGCGAGTGGTCCTCAGTGGAACTGCATCTATACAGAGGGAAGTGTGTAGTGGGGTGCCCCAGGCCTCTGTTCTTGGCCCATTGCTCTTCAACATCTTCATCAATGATTTGGACGAAGGGATAGATGGGGAATGTTGAGTCCGTGGCGGGAAACAGACACGAGAAGCAGCTGGAGTTCTCAGTTTCTTTTATTCAGCGTTCAGCTTACAGGAAGATGGCTTCAGCCTCGCCCAAACGCCTCGCAGCCTCTTATATAGGCAACTCCCGGGTAAATGGGTTACTTTTCCCGCGCCAGCATCCGCGCATGCGCACGGCGCTGGCGACAGCCTGTCTGGTCCCGGGCAGCTTTGCACCTGCCCGGGACTGCCTGCAAACGCCCAAGCCGTTTGCAAGGCTCGGGACATAACAGGGAACTCATCAAATTTGCAGACGACACCAAGCTGGCAGGAATAGCCAACACTCCAGAAGACAGGCTTAAGATACAGAAGGATCTGGACAGACTTGAACACTGGGCACTAACTAACAAAATGAAATTCAATGGTGAAAAAAGGAAGCTTCTATATTTAGGCAAGAAAAACCAAATGCACAAGTACAGCATAGGTGGCACCATGCTCAATAGTAGTAACTCTGAGAGGGACCTCGGAGTCCGAGTAGACAATCACCTAATATCAGCCAGCAGTGTGCTGCAGCTGCCAAAAAGGCCAAGACAGTGATAGGCTGCATTAACAGAGGGATAGAATCAAGATCACGTGAAGTATTAATACCACTCTACCATGCCTTGGTAAGGCCACACTTGGAATACTGCATCCAGTTTTGGTCACCACAATGTAAAAAAGATGTTGAGACTCTAGAAAGAGTACAGAGAAGAGCAACAAAGATGATTAGGGGACTGGAGGCTATAATATATAAGGAACGGTTGCTAGAATTGGGTATGTCTAGTTTAACGAAGAGAAGGACAAGGGGGGACATGATAGCAGTATTCCAATATCTCAGGGGCTGCCATAAAGAAGAGGGAATCAAGCTATTTTCCAAAGCACCTGAAGGCAGGACAAGAAGCAACGGGTGGAAACTAATCAAGGAGAGAAGCAACCTAGAACTAAGGAGAAACTTCCTGACAGTGAGAACAATTAATCAGTGGAACAGCCTGCCTCCAGAAGAAGTAAATGCTCCAACACTGGAAGTTTTTAAGAAGAGATTGGACATCCATTTGTCCGAAATGGTATAGGGTTTCCTGCCTGAGCAGGGGGTTGGACTAGATGACCTCCAAGATCCCTTCCAACTTTACTACTACTATATTATATTATATTAATAATTAAACTATTATATCTGCATATTGTTGATATTTCTCCCAGCAATCTTAATTCCAACTTTTGATTCATCTAGCCCTGCCTTTCTCATGATATGCTCTGCATATAAGTTAAATAGGCAGGGCAACAGTATACAGCCTTGCAGGACTCCTTTTCCAATTTTGAACCAATCAGTGGTTCCGTGTCCAGTTCTCACTGTTGCTTCTTGACCTGCATATAGGTTTCTCAAGAGACAAATAAGATGGTCTGGTATTTCCATCTCTTTAAGAACTTGCCACAATTTGTTGTGATCCACACAATCAAAGGCTTTAGCATAGTCAATGAAGCAGAAGTAGATGTTTTACTGGAACTCCCTAGCTTTCTCCATGATCCAGCGTATGTTGGCAATTTGATCTCTAGTTCCTCTGCCTCTTCGAAATCCTGCCTGTACTTCTGGTAGTTCTCAATCCACATACTGCTGGAGTCTAGCTTGTAGGATTTTAAGCATAACTTTACTAGCATGTGAAATGAGTACAATGGTGCGATAGTTTGAACATTCTTTGGCATTGCCTTTCTTTGGAATTGGAATGTAAACTGACCTTTTCCAATCTTGTGGCCTCTGCTGAGTTTTCCAAATTTGCTGGCAAATTGAGTGTAGCACTTTTACTGCATCGTCTTTTAAGATTTTGAATAGCTCAGCTGGAATACTGTCACCTCCACTAGCTTTGTTGTTGCTCAGATTTTCTAAGGCCCATTTCACTTCACATTCTAGGATGTCTGGTTCGAGGTCAGTGACCATCTCATTGTGGTTATCTGGGATGTTAAGCTCATTCTTGTATAGTTCTTCTGTGTAGTTTTGCCATCTCTTCTTAATCTCTTCTGCCTCTGTTAGGTCCCTGCCATTTTGGTCCTTTATCATGCCCATCTTTGCATGAAACTTTCCCTTCATATCTCCAATTTTCTTGAAGAGATCTCTGGTCCTCCCTATTCTGTTGTTTTCTTCTATTTCTTTGCATTGTTCATTTAAGAAAGCATTCTTATCTCTTCTAGCTATTCTCTGGAATTTTGCATTCAATTGGGTTTATCTTTCTCTTTCTCCTTTGCCTTTCATTTCCCTTCTTTCCTCAGCTATTTGCAAAGCTTCCTCAGACAGCCATTTTGCTTTCTTGCATTTCTTTTTCTTTGGGATGGTTTTAGTTGCTACCTCTTGTACATGTTGCGAACTTCCATCCATAGTTCTTCAGGCACTCTGTCTATCAGATCTAATTCCTTAAATCTATTTGTCACCTCTACTGTATATTCATCAGGAATATAATTTAGTTCATACCTGAGTGGCCTAGTGCTTTTCCCTACTTTTTTCAATTTAACCCTAAATTTTGCAACGAGAAGCTCATGATCTGAGCCACAGTGAGCTCCTGGTCTTGTTTTTACTGACTGTATAGAGCTTCTCCATTTTTGGCTGCAAAGCACATAGTCAATCTGATTTCTATGTTGACTGTCTGGTGATGTCCATGTGTAGAGCCGTCTCTTGGGTTGTTGGAAAAGAGTGTTTGTTATGACCATCGTATTTTCTTGACAAAATTCTATCAGCCTGTGCCCTGCTTCATTTTATACTCCAAGGCCAAACTTACCTGTTATTCTGGTTATCTTTTGGCTTCCTACCTTAGCATTCCAATCCCCCATGATGATAAGGACATCATTTTTTGGTGTTAATTCTATAAGGTGCTGTAGGGCTTCATAGAACCGGTCAATTTCATCCTCTTCAGCACCAGTAGTTGGGGCATAGATTTGGACTATTGTGGTATTGAATGGTTTGCCTTGGATTCGAACTGAGATCATTCTGTCATTTTGGGGATTGTATCCCAGTATTGCTTTTCCTATTCTTTTATTGACTATGAAGGCTACTCCATTTCTTCTGAGGGATTCTTGCCCACAGTAGTATACCTGATGGTCATCTGAGTTAAATTCACCCATTCCTGTCCATTTTAGTTCGCTGATTCCTAAGATGTCGATGTTCAGTCTTGTCATCTCTTTTTTGACTACGTCTAGCTTGCCTTGATTCATGGATCTTACATTCCAGGTTCCTATGGAGAAAAAATCTTTACAGCATCGGACTTTCCTTTCACCACCAGATATATCCACAGCTGAGCGTCCTTTCGGCTTTGGCCCAGTCGCTTCATTCTTTCTGGCGCTACTAATACTAGCCCTCTGCTCTTCCCCAGTAGCATATTGGACACCTTCCGACCTGAGGGGCTCATCTTCCAGCGTCATATCTTTTTGCCTTTTAGTACTGTCCATGGGGTTTTCATGGCAAAGATACTGGAGTGGTTTGCCATTTCCTTCTCCAATGGATCACATTTTGTCAGAACTCTCTGCTATGACCTGTTTGTCTTGGGTGGCCCTGCACGGCATAGCTTATAGCTTCATTGAGTTACGCAAGCCCCTTCGCCACGACAAGGCAGTAATCCATAAATGATACATTTATCCATTAGTACAATTCAAATAAAGAGTCATTAGGACACTTCATCATAAGGAAGACAGGGAGAGAACTAAGAAAAGGAGCTCCATGAATCTGGATAACCACAAAAAAAATGGTTATACTATAAGTATGGTAAAAATTTCTGAATCTTTTGGCTATCATCAAGTGGTCACCAGATTTTTGCAAGTTAAAAAAAAAAGAACTTGATATTTGTAGAAAGTAAGAAAAAGAAAGGGAAATAAAACACATTAAACCAAATGAAAAGAGAGAAACGTGATCTTTGTTAAAATAAGCATGAAGTTTTGTGAAGTATCTATAAATAGAACCAGTTAATATTTAACACAAATTGTTCATTCAATATTGTTGTTCAAAGTTTGAATTTTTGTCAATCAACATTTACTCTAAGTCCGTGGTTCTCAACCTTTCTAATGCCGTGACCCCATAATACAGTTCCCCATGTTGTGGTGACCCCCAAGTGGGTGTGGCCACCAATAAGAGGGATTAGGACAGCTAGGGAAAAGGGAAAAAAATGGCAGACAGCATGGTTTGGCGACCCCCGTGAAATGGTCGTTCGACCCCAAATGGGGTCCCGACCCACAGGTTGAGAACCACTGCTCTAAGTAAACGAAAGATTAACATAATTTCCTACTACTCCAGCTAAGATTGTACTTCCAATACAATGAATGTGACAGTGGTTATAATCTTAGTACTATGCCTTTAGAATTATCATTTTGGGGAGTTGGTAGAGATATTTTAAATAATTTGTCTATTCTCAAAACAAAAATAGAAAAAATATAGTACTGTCAGTCAAATACTAAATATATTTAGTACCTTGCGACTGCTTGCCACATCCTGTTGGACCATAGGCTGTCTCTTCTCAGTTGTATATGTTCATCATCCATTCTGTAGCCCCAATCACATTAATCATTTCATTTGCGAGCTACCTGTTGTGTTAAAACTTGCATGTGATGACACCACTATAATTAAAGCCATTGTTTTTGGTTTATCGGCATTCATTGTTCTGGTTCCCCTTTTAGTTCATCCTGTCTTCCTATGGTTTAATTCTATATTCTGTATTGGACATGAGGTCAACTACTGGAAGGCGTAAAGTTTTCTTCACATGTGGCTCCCACCTTATGGTGGTTACCATGTTCTATGGTACTGTTATTTCTGTGTACATCATCCCCCATTCAGACACAGGTCAAGATCATGATAAGCAAATTGCACTCTTTTATGTTGTGGTGACACCTCTTCTGAATCCCATTATTTATGCTCTGAGAAACAAGGAAGTCCATAAAGCAGCACTCAAAATCCTGAAGGACTTTGACTTAATAGCATGAGCATTCTCATGTTGCTAAATATATATTTTAGAATGAGGTGGGTTTGTACATTGAACTCTAAGGTTTGTGTGTGTGTGTGTGTGTGTGTGTGTGTGTGTGTGTGAAAGAGAGAGAGAGAGAGGGGGGGACTATGTGTGTTGTATTGCAGTGTATAATCCTATTATAACTGTATATAATCCCATTATAACAAGATGAATTATTAGTGATTTTAGATATGCTGGAAAATATTGGGAATACTGAGGAGGAAATATAATGGAAGAAAATGTCATATTCTATGAATCTCACTTCTGAGGAAAATTCCTTTTTTCCCCTTTTTCTTTGTGACAGGCAGATCAGGCAGATCCTCCTGCAGTTTTCTCTATTCATCAGATATATACAGTGAAGAAAACACAAACACAAAATTATTCAGTACACTTAGTTTTGGAAAAAAATTCCAGAAAATTTCTCCTATGATCCTACTTGTGACATAATGTACCATCATCACAGAAAGAGCTAGATTTTTTTTTTTTAAAAAAAGGTTGAGCTTTTCATCCTTCTCCAGATTGTTGGGGGAAATATGCTGACTCTGTAAACCACTCAGAGAGGGCTGTAAAGCACTATGAAGCAGTATATAAGTCTAAGCGCTAATGCTATTTGTACTAAAATATATTCAGTCAATTTATTAATCGGGCTCAAAATACACCATGGGATGGTCTTTATAGGTAATTTTTGAAATTACAGCCATGCCAGTCATTAAGTGGGTAACCATGTGACCACACACAATTTTATGACCATTTTTGTGGCAGTTGTTAAGTGAATGCCACAGTCATTAAATGATCACTGCAGTCATTAAATGAGCCAATGGTTCACTATTAGCCATTTGCCATTGTCATGAAGTCAACACTGAGGTTCTTTGGCAAATCCATCATCCTCAATGAGTGTTTTTTGCCAAAAACTGGAAGTAAACACCAGCAAAAACCCATAAATTGTAGTCATGTGACTGTGGGATGCTGCAAATAGTTGTAAATGTGGGACGGTTGCTCAGTGCCCAAAACGTGATCACATGACTATGGTAGGGGGGCAACCGCCAAAACTTTGAATCCAAGTAATAAGTAGCTATGGGGAGGTCTCTCATAAATTTGAAAAGGTTGCTAAGCAACTGTTGAAAGGGAAGGACTTCCTGTATTATTCAGAGAACCCATCTTATTTGAGTTTGTTAATCAAGCACTTCAGTTCTCAAGAGATTGAGATAAAAATGAATTATAATGAAATACAGTAACGTTCCAGTGGAACTGGAATAATCTCCATGGAGTAGATTCATATTATTTTTATTATCTTTTGCAATCTTTAGTGCTTCTACACACAGCAAAGCAGCAACTGTCAATATTTGGGAGAAGAAAAAGCAAGGATAAGTAGCTTTGGATCTAACCACAGGTAGCTGCTAGGAGGATCAAGACAGTATAACTTAGATTTACTGAAAATATACTTCACACCAAAAATAACAATTGGTATTATCAACTAAAAGGCCTTCAGTAAATTCCATGGAACAAACAATGTCTACCTGAGGTCTTGTGGAGATCATTAACCTGGATGGCACTTTGCATGATACGTAAGGCAATTCCTCTTCCAATTTCAAAAACTTACTCACAAAATCATGTCTTCTCATTTATAAGCCAGCCACCTTTGAATGATGACACTGAAATTAGGGAGTCCAAAGTAATTTGCCACAGAAAAGTCGAGAGTAGGATAACATTAATACATACAATTTCTCAAGTTCTTTAAGTATGTATGTATCTCTATGGCTTGTAATATGTGAAGCAGGATTTTCCTACAACTATGCTTTATTCAGCTAAGTCTCTGTTTTCATAAGTTGGTAGTCATTAGGTTAATGGTCACAGGGAATCCTTTTCAAATATCAGAAGAACATATATAACTAAGAATCTTCCTCTGATAACTCACTGAATTTTCGGTTCTTTCTCACTGTTTTGCCTCAACACAAGCAGGTAGTGTGATGTGATCCTCCTTGATGGCTGTGGGACCTTTTAGAGGTACAGAAAGGTAAGACATTTTGCCATTTGGAAGTTGGTTGATAGAGAATAGAATCTGATTTTGTCAGAAAGGCTTACATGGGATAAGATATTGTTTTTAATTAGGTGGAAATTCATCGGTACCTCTGAAAGAACTAAGCATTGTGGTCAAAAGCCTGAATGACTGCTGCTATAGCTGAGTATAGCCAACTGATGCTGCAGTCAGCTATATGCTTACCTGTTCACAATGGTGGTTAACCATGCAATATTGGCATAGTATGGCAAACTTAGTAAGAAGGTGCCATTCCACTAAGCTAAGTGGGATAAGATTTGTGGTCTACCAAATTTGTGGTCTTGTGCTTTGATGCAAGACTGCTACCGGGGCTTGTCCTAGCAAGATAGTTCAGGTTTTATTGTGTTTGCATCTCCAGCAAAGTACAAGACCCCCATTATATAACCCAGTCATAATGTTTCAATTTTTGCATGGTTACTGATATCTCTGCAGTGGAGACTCAGAAATTCAAGCTTCTGGCTTTTATAGTTGAAGGATGAGACGCCCAGGATTTCTTCTCATCCTGCAGTGTTTGAAGTGATCTGTAAGGGTTAAATTTGCCAATGTAACTGGACGGGTTGAGTGAAGATGATGCTATTACGGAATGTAGAATAACAGAGTTGGGATCTTGGAGGTCTTCTGGTCCAGCGTCCTGCTCAAGCAGGTGACCCTATACCATTTGAGACAAATGGCTGTCCAATCTCTTCTTAAAAGCCTCCAGTGATGGAGGACCCACAATTTCTCAAGCTAGGCAGTTGCACTGATTGACTGTTCTGACTGATCAAATCAAATGACACAACTTTTATGGTTCTTTAAGTAAAGGGCACCCAAACAGACAACAAGCACGTGAGTAGGATGCAAGAAAAGCTCCCTGTAGCAAGAAATAGTATGAAATATTTCTCCATTCTCAGCCACCTAGGTTTAATCATTGCAATTTCTAGTTTCTGCAAATTTTAGTCCCACTTTAGGCATAAAAGCCAGCTGGGTGACTTTGGACCAGTCCCTTTCTCTCAGCCGAACTCACCTCACAGGATTGGCGTTGTGGGGAAAATAGAAAGAAGGAGTATTAGATATGTTTGTTGGCTTGAGATATTTGTAAAAAAAAATAAAAATAAAATAAAGGCAGGATATAAATACATAAATACATAATCTCATGAAAAATGCTTTAGAAATTCCTTTGGCATAGTGATTTTACATGAAGCATCGTTTGTTTAATTTTTGTATTAAATCTCATCTAGTAGCTAATATATTATTTCCAAATGTTCTCTACATACAATTTTGTTAAAAGAACTTGTTTCCCAGAAAGATTCCTGATTAAAGGAACCCCTAAAGGTCTGCAACAAATTGTCATGACTATTTAAGCCTTGGTTACTGCCTGCAACAGTCTTCTATGGGTATCCTATTTTTTAAAAAGCATTGTCTCGTTTCAAAAGAATCTCACTACCTTTCAACAACTTCTTTTATCCTACAGGTAGTAAGCCAGATGGGAGCTGAGAACTTCACCTCTGTTAAAGAATTCATGTTGGTGGGACTCACAAGTCATCGAGGGACCCAGCTTCTGCTCTTTGGGGTGCTCCTTGTCATCTACTTGCTTATCCTTTTTGGCAACCTGCTGATCATCACATTGGTGTGGGCTGATTCCCAGCTACATACTCCCATGTATTATTTTCTCAGCAATCTTGCTGCAATGGAAATTGGGTTGGTCACCAGCACGCTGCCTCAGATGTTGGCTCATCTGGTCACTGGGAATGGCGTTCTCTCCTTAACACGTTGCATGCTGCAAGGTTATACTGCATTGAACATAGGCAGTGCTGAAAGTTTGCTATTAGGTGTCATGGCCTATGACCGTTACTTGGCCATCTGCTCTCCCTTGTCATATGCTACAGCCATGAGCAAGTTCCATCAGGTCCTGCTTGTCAGCACATGTTGGATAATTGGCTTTGCATTTTCCATGGTTTATGTTGTCAGTACTTTTCGTCATTCCTTCTGTGGTTCTAATCTCATTAATCACTTCATGTGTGAGTTGCCTATTGTGCTGAAACTTGCATGTGGTGACATAAAAATGACTAAAGTAATTGTTTCTGGTCTGTCAGCATTCATGGTCTTCATTCCCCTTTCAATCATCTTGTCTTCCTATGGATTTATTCTGCACTCTGTATTACACATGAGGTCAAGTGCAGGAAGGAGTAAGGCCTTCTCCACTTGTGGGTCCCACCTCACTGTAGTCACCTTGTTCTATGGCACTGTTATTTCTATGTACATTATCCCCCACCCAGACTCAGGTCCTTCTCACAATAAGGAAATGACTGTCTGTTACCTAGTAGTTACTCCCTTGCTTAACCCTGTCATTTATACTTTGCGCAACAAGGAGATTCATTCAGCAGTGTTCAAGATGGTGAGAAGATGGGGCTTTGAACAATGAACATGACCACTGACATCTTGCTGGATTGATATTTTGTGATGTTTTCTTGAAGCAGAGGGAGGCTGACTATAAAAATAATAGCACCCTATTTTAACATTCCCAATCTTTTTTAGAGATGATAAGGTGGAAAAGCAGGCTGGACTCTGTAGAAATGACCTTGAAGAAAATATGTGGCACTTATCAGCAAAACATGAACAGATCCCAAGAAAACAGGAATATGTGAGGAAAGGAACTCAAGATTGGTCCATAGTAATACTTTTTGGTGTAAGAGGAAGAAAAGGGAAATGCTGTCATGTTTTCAAGGTATAAACACCCTGTATCAATAAAGTAGAATTCTAATATTTCTTGTAAACTCTTTTCCTTCACTTGTTCTACTGACAAAGAGATGTGACAAGATTGTTTTTGTGCTTTTGAATAAGTCTTGATTCCTGGTGACTACATGAACAAGTCCATGCAGTTTTCCTAGCAATATTTTTCATCAATGATTGTCATTGCCTTTTTCCTAGGACTGAGAGAGAGTAACTGCTCCAAGTCATGCAGCTGGCTTCATGCTGAAGGCTGAACTAGAACTCACAGTTTCCCAGTTTCTAGCCTGATGCCTTAACCAATACACCTAACTGGTTCTTGGTGAAATGATAAATTTCTCCATTAGTACAATTCAAATAAAGAGTCATTAGGACACTTCATCATAACGAAGACAGGGAGAGAACTAAGAAGAGGAGTCTAACAGCTTTGAGCTCCATGAATCTGGATAACCACAAAAAAACATGGTTATACTATAAGTATGGTAATAATTTCTGAATCTTTTGGCTATCATCAAGTGGTCACCAGATTTTTGTAAGTTAAAAAAAAGAACTTGATATTTGTAGAAAGTAAGAAAAAGAAAGTAAGAAAACAAAATATATTAAACCTAATAAAAAGAGAAAAACATGATCTTTGTTAAAATAAGCATGATGTTTTGTGAAGTATCTATAAATAGAACCAGTTAATATTTAACACGAATTGTTCATTCAATATTGTTGTTCAAAGTTTGAATTTTTGTCAATTAACATTTACTCTAAGTAAATGAAAGATTAACATAATTTCTTACTACCCCAGCTAAGATCGTACTTCCAAAACAATGAATGTGACAGTGGTTATAATCTTAGTACTATACCTTTAGAATTATCATTTTGGGGAGTTGGTAGAGATATTTTAAATAATTTGTCTATTCTCGAAACAAAAATAGAAAAAAATATAGTACTGTCAGTCAAATACTAAATATATTTGGCCTCAGTAGCAAAGGAATTGGGAAAAAAACTTTCTAGCCTCAAACATAAAAAAAACCCCATCTTATTCTACCTCGAAACAAAATGGCTGCCTAAATATTGATATGATATATTAGGAATTATTTGAACTGAATGAATTCTTATAGCATATTGAGTTTTTTTGAGTAGAGCTTTTGGGAAAGAAAGGCAGACTGAAGACAGCTTCATGAAAGCAGAGCCAACTTTTGCAGCAAAGTTTGGTTCCTTTGACTCTCTCTGGATGAAAAAAAGATGTGAAACTGAACAGAGGACCAAACTGCTCTTCATACAATTGTTTCCCATGAAAAGACTGCATGATATCAGTGTTCCAATATTTGAGGGGCTGCCACAAAGAAGAAGGGGTTAATCTATTTTCCAAAGCATCTGAAGGCAGGTCAAGAAATAATGAATGAAATCTAAACAAGGAGAGAAACAACCTGGAATTAAGGAGAAATTTCCTAAAAGTGAGAACAATTGACCAGTGGAATGGCTTGCCTTCAGAAATTGTGGGTGCTCCATCACTGGAGGGTTTTAGGAAGAGACTGGATAGCCATTTATCTGAAATGGTATAAGGTCTCCTGCTTGAGCAGGGGGTTGGACTAGAAGACCTCCAAGGTCCCTTCCAACTCTGTTGCTCCAGCTGCAAACAGAGCCTTTACACCAAGTTTGTACTTCCCTTGCTAACTACTTTCAGTAATTGCCTATTAACTACTTTAAAGTTAGACACCTTCAAAAATGCAAGGCTGGAAAATCAATGTGTAAGTACTTCCAATGTTTAATACTGTATAAAAAATGAAAATGTATTTGTATGACTGTTAAGAATTTAAAATAAACAGCAATACACAAGGCAAGAGTTTGGCTTTAGAAATTATTGAATCTTTTCTGTTCAACCAGACAAAGGTGAAATATTTTCTCATGAGAGGTGGAGAAAGGAGGAAGAAAGAAAAATCACCTCTTTAGACAATAGACCCTTTAATTGTGTTGGTTTGGGGACAACCAGCATTTTTTTTCAAATAACATTCAATGGTACTTTATGGAAAGTCAGTGAATTTAGATGTAGAATTTATGGTGGGCACTAGAAAACCTGTCTTAATAACAAGAGCTTGTGACAACTATTTTAGTATGTCTTGGTCCAAACTTTCATTTCAAGGGGATCTGTTTATTCAGGTTGTCTAGGTAGGTGCTGGCAAAATTCTGATTGGAAAGGTGCAAATTATGACAATGGAAACATTTGTAAAGGGTAGTGTAGCTTTCTGCCAGGGAGGGGTGGGAAGACCCAATAGGTCAAGAATGAATGGGTGCTGAATGAATCTTCACTGAATAGAAGCGTGTGCCCAGTATTAAAGAAGCACATTGTAACAGTTTGATCATATAGACAGAATGAATGAGGAGAAAATTGATAGGTAAGTAGGAAGAAGACCAAGAGAGTCATTGTATCGAGTTGATGAGGTCCTAAAAAAAGGAAAAGTTGAGAAATTGAAAGAACAAAAGATCAAGTGTGAACTAATATATGGATGCTGTGGAAGCAACTATCAGTCATAATAAATCAGGAAGCGAGGTGGTCAAATGACTACAGGTTTATTGCATGCAAACATGCAACAGCGTGTCAACTGTCCAGTTGGCATTTACAGAAAAAGAAACTGCTGGGACATGATTGAGACATGATGAAAGTATAACACTTTATTGAAAATTTACACTGGCACAGAAGAAAATGAAACCAGCTCTGGTTTTGCCACTCGAAAGCTTGCTTAGTTAAACGATAGACTTCCTCACCCCCACCCACAATGTGTTCACATTGTCCAATAGTAATATTTCTTCTTGTTATGAAAACAGTCAACTTCTCCTCCAAGCAGCTGGCCTTGGCTCTAGGTTGCCTAGACATTATCCCCTCCTGTCTTTGCATTCCATTGTCGAGATATGAGCAAAAGAGAAAATCTAGATGAAAAGGCGAATCAGATTTGACACCCTGCAAGAATGTACACTACTAAAGGTTGAGGGAAGTTAGCCCAGAGAAAGGAATATTAAAAAGGGCAGAAAAATACATTTTTCCTCAAAAGGACTTTTTAAAACCAAACCTGGCCCCAAATCTATCTCTCTGCCCCAAGCAAGACTTTAGCCCCATACAAGAGCAGATGTAAAACCATCAGAAAGTTGGAGCCAGAGCAATCAAGAAGACAAAAGAGAAGATCTGCATACCCCACCCAAACTCTAGGAGTCATTAGCCCCATCACCTGGGAAGCAGGATATGATAATAGGATTAAACCACAGATATCAAATCCTAGAAAAACACTCAGAAACAGCCTCAAGGTTCATGCCACAGGAACAGGAAACTATTCCAAACAAAAGGCTAGAGGGGGTATAAAAACCTACTACCCCATGTGATCAGCCCTTCTCTCCTCTGCACTTTCCTGAAGAACCATCTTTCTGCAATAAACTGTAACTTTCTTCCCAAAGCAGTTGCCATGTTTGCTTATTTATTCCCGGCTTGGATGAACCAGGATGAAGACTTACTTCTCACAAGGTCAAAGCAAATTGGTGGTAGATAAGAGTCCATGGAATTCAAGGTGGAATGGATTTAGAGCTCTTGTGGGTGTGAAGGAACTTGGGATTCATAGCATGCTTGACCCCTTGCTTGGGTTTGCTTGATCATCTCCTACAGCAGGGGTGTTGAACTTGCAATGTCATGTGATGTGTTGTGACATATCACAAGTTTTTTTTCCATTGCCGGCAATGGGGTGGGCGCAGTTTCACCATAATGCATCCAGCCCGCGGGCTGGCAGTTTGACACCCCTATCCTACAGCAACAATTGCAAGAAGGGTTAGAAAGCTTTCAGTGAATGGTATTGGTGTAAATTAATTTGTTGTTTTTTTCTTTTTCTCTTATCTCATGATTTACTTTCCTTTGGTTTATTATTCCTTTACTGATTTTTGCATAACATAATTGAAAGGGAATACTGTGGTGGCCATGTATTTATGTATACTAGAGCTAGTATATCAAATACCCCTGAGAGGTAAGGAGTTGCATATTTATTATGATCCATAGCAAAGTGCAACAGGGAGTGTAGCATTCTCAGTGGAGAAGGTTTATATCCTTTTTATTTCCTTAGGAAAGTTTCAAATCTTCTACACGTCATGATATATAAGGCAGAGTGCTGCTTGAATAATTTGCTAGCTGAAATTACCAAGTGAGTTGGATAAATCCTAGAGAAAGATTTAAAATTTTGGGGGTGGAGCAATTAAAGTGGTTGAGTAATTAGAACATAGTGCAAATGCTTACTTTGATACTTCAATTATTATATTCATTGAGTAGTTTCACCACCTACAGCAACTTTATTCATAGATGGTGGTATTGTTTTCGGTCCAATGTTCTAGTGTTACAACTGGAACCAAGTTTTTCAATATTTCACCTGTCCATCTCATGGTTATTGACCATGTGGATATGTGAAGTTATAATATGCCATTTTTCAGGCCCATTTATTGCCACGCATGTGTAGAGCATCTCCCGTTCATGTTTATGTTTTATTGCTGCTTTGATAATCTTTTAAAGTTAATTTGAATAGAATAGAGTTGGAAGGGACCAAGGAGGTCTTCTTGTCCAGTCCTCTGCTCAGCCAAGAGAACCTAAACCATCTCAGATAAGTGACTGTCCAGTCTCTTCTTAAAAATCTCCATTGATGGAGTGCCCACAATTTCTGAAGCTAAGCTGTTCCACTGGTTAATTGTCCTCACTGATAGGAAGTTTCTCCTTAATTCTAGGTGGCTTCTCTCTTTGATCAGTTTCCAACCATTGTTTCTTGTCCTGCCTCTGGTGCTTTTGACCCCCTCTTCTTTGTGGCAGCCCCTCAAATACTGGAATACTTCTATCATATCACCGCTATTTCTTCTTTTCTTTAGACTACCCAAACCCAATTCCTGCAGCCGTTCTTCATATGTTTTAGTCTGTTTTAGTTCTGTAACAAACAAATTTTGGATTTGGTCTCTGCTGAGATCGTCAGTATGCACCTCTCCATCATATAGTGTGCAACTTCATTTAGAAGTCTCTTAGTATCTTCATTAAAGGAACTCAGATGAGGATCATTTAGTGACATCTATCTGGTGGTTGTTAGTTTTGGTACTTATCAACACTTCTTCTTATCTCAGAAATGAGGATCTATCCAGAAAAACATGCTATGAATGCACTTTAAACTCCTATTGTGTGTATTTGATCTCATTAGTATTTGTGGCATCCATAGGCAATTATTTCAGCAGATAATCAGATACTTTTAATTCATAATTTCAAGTTCAAATGATAGCAGTGTTCCAATATCTCAGGGGCTGCCACAAAGAAGAGGGCAGGACAAGAAGCAACAGATGGAAACTAACCAAAGAGAGAAGCAACCTAGAACTAAGGAGAAATTTTCTGACAGAACAATTAATCAATGGAACAATCTGCCTCCAGAAGCGGTGAATGCTCCAACACTGGAAGTTTTTAAGAAGAAATTGGACAGCCATTTGTCTGAAATGGTATAGGGTTTCCTGCTTGAGCAGGGGGTTGGACTATATAACTTCCAAGGTCCCTTTCAACTTTATTATTATGGGAAAATTCACTTGTCCTTTTCTTGGGGTAGTCCATGAAGACAAAACAGGGATCAGAGGCCATGAAGTAGTATATCCATTGTCTTTGGAGAATGTAGATGTTTGTGAAATTCAGTATGTTTGTCTACTACTTTAAATTTCAATCATTTACACCTTTTTCTTGGGTAGTGAGAGAAAAGATAGGCAACTAATTTACTGGTTGTACTCACAGTTCAGTATACTGTGTACTTTTCAGTGCAGAGATAAATCACTCCTCTCCCATTTCTTTGTTTAATGCTCATGATGTTCAGTCATTCCAACATTGTAAACAATGCATTATTTGCTAATTATATCCAATGTCGTATTCTGTACACAGATTCACTAAAAATGAAGTTGCTGGAACAAAAAGCAATCTTTCCTGAGGCTGATAAACATATGAATGATGCCTGCAGAAAGCCAATACTAGAAATAAGGATTCTTTGAAAGAAGATGAATTTGTTCATTAAATGTGGAGGAATTATCTCATTAAAGGTCACTCTATTTTCAGTGACATTCATTTTGTCCCAACCTCATCTTTCTTCTCAAACAGAAGGAAAAATGGAAGCTGAAAATTATACCATCACCAGAGAATTCATCCTACTTGGGCTCACCAGCCATCCCAAAAAACGGCTGCTACTTTTTGTGACTGTTCTCCTTATCTACTTGCTTACCATCTTTGGAAACACTCTGATCATCATACTGGTATGGGCTGATTCTCAACTGCATACCCCCATGTACTTTTTTCTTGGCCATCTTGCTGGCATGGAAATTGGGTATGTTACTAGCACATTGCCTCAGATGTTGATTCACCTTTTGACTGGAAATAGGGTCATCTCCTTAGTATGTTGTACACTGCAGGGTTACATGACTCTGGCCATGGGTAGTACTGAGTGTTTGCTACTAGGAGCCATGGCTTATGACCGCTACTTGGCCATATGCCATCCATTGGTGTATGCATTAACCATGGACAGGTATCACCAATTCTTGCTTGCCACATCCTGTTGGACCATTGGTTTTGTGTTCTCTGCAATTTATGTCCTCTGCACCTTTCGTCATCCCTTTTGTGGGATCGTCATCAACCACTTCATCTGTGAACCACCTGCTGTGCTAAAACTTGCATGTGGTGACACAAGAATCACCAAGGTCATTGGTTTTGGTCTCTCGAGTTTCATTGTTCTCGTTCCCCTTTTTGTTATCCTGACTTCCTATGGGTACATTCTGGATTCTGTATTGCACATGCGGTCAACAGGAGGATGGCATAAAGCTTTCTCCACCTGTGGTTCCCACCTTGCTGTAGTAACCTTGTTCTATGGCACTATTATCTCTATGTATATTGTTCCCCAGTCAAGTTCAGCCTCTGATCGTAACAAGAAAATTGCTGTTTTTTACCTTGTGATCACTCCCCTTCTTAACCCCATAATTTACACCCTAAGGAACAAAGACATACATTTAGCAGCACTCAAAATGTTGAAAAGACTTTGAAGAAAAAACATTCTCATCTTGTTTAATTAAGTCTTTTTAGCTTGAGAGGTGGATACTGAAGATTGATGGAGAGGTTGGAAATACTGTATTGAAAGAGAAACTTACTGTAAGAAAATTAAAATTGCTTACCTCATGGTTTTCAAATGGGGAGTATCCCCAAGATTTGTAACTATCACCTACCCTATACAGTGTAGTAAAGAGAATATAAATATACCAATGTCTGTGATAAGTTTATCTTCTTCAAATGGAAGTCTCATAAAACTCCAAATATCTCCATCCACACTCTAGGGCAATAAGTACTTGGTAAATAATGACATCTACCTCTGTTCCCAGAAGAAATTATCTCAATTGTTGAATTATTCAAGAGTAGATAAAATGTTTGTCTTCATTGTTGTAAATTAAGTAGGATTGACCATAAATCAAGGTTAAAGTACTGTCAGAATATAAATGTTGATTCAACAAGCACTGAAGTCTTTTAGTATGGATGTCAAGATTAAGGAACTAGATTGAAGTTGAAAGCCTACAGGAGAATGGAAAAATCAACCATAATTTATGCAGGGATTATTATAATAGGGCTGGAGAAAAAACACACAATATACATAATACAAAAGGAATAGGAATAGCATAGGCAAAAAGAATGGCTTAAATTACTTTTGATAACTTTTTTTAAAAAAGAAAACAACACCTAGCTCTACTATTCCTTCAATTGCTATATTTTTTTCTGGATCTCCAATTTCCAAAAATAGATTCCTGATTGGTAGAGCTTCTCCTCAATTCAGTTGTGCAGAACTTTTGTGATGACAATTCTCCCTAGCCACTACATATGTCAATGTCAGAAAAAGAAAGCAGGTCCATAAATTAGGAAACTAGCATCTTAAATTATGGAATGTATTTAAGCTGTCATTTAACTCTTTATGCTTATAAACCTGTTGTCACAACAATCTCTACACTCTTCATGAGAACAATTTCTTCTCTTTTATAAGCTAAAGTGTTCATTGTGCCACTTGACTTTCAGCTGTTTCACCTTTCTAAGTTGCCATTTTTGAGCATGGACCCCATACTTTCTTAAAATGTGCAGATCCCTTCTATAAAGCCAAGTTTTATTTTGTGTATGTATATGTATATGTGTATGTGTGTGTGTGTGGGAGAAATGAGTAAATAGAAGAGTTTTTATTTCCTAACTTTTTCCATGTTTGTTTCCTTATCCTATTGCTATTAATCCTGCCATTGTCTTCCATTTTCATCATGTGTTATTAACAGGTGTTATTTTGCTGTAATTGCTGAACCGTTTATTTGTTAATAGGATGTTTGAAGAAGACAACAGAATTTAAGGATATCCCATATCTAGCTAACATTTTATCGCCTTAATAATAAAAGAACATGAGATATGTTTTGTTGAGATCAAGGTACATTCTATCTAAAGAATTCCATTGAGTTCCAATATCTCAGGGGTTGCCAAAAAGAAGAGGAAGTAAAGCTATTCTCCAAAGAAGGCAGAATAAGAAGCAATGGATGGAAACTAATCAAGGAGAGAAGCAACCTAGAACTAAAGAGACATTTCTTGACAGTTAGAACAATTAATCAGTGGAATGACTTGCTTCCAGAAGTTGTGGATACTCCAACACTGGAAGTTTTAAAGAAGAGATTGGACAACCATTTGTCTGAAATGGTATAGGGTTTCCTGCCAGAACAGGGGGTTGGACTAGAAGACCTCCAAGGTCCCTTCCAATTCTGTTATTCTTTTATTCTGTTATTCAAAGCATTCTGATATCTGCCAGATTATGAGTGATATTAAAAAAGAAATTAAGGCTGATATCATTTATTGTTTTCAACTTATATTATCCCCCATTGATGTTTTGTAGATGTTTACAAACTCTCTGTTCAATGAAATGGTTTAAGTGTTCTATGTAGTAACATGAGAGTCACAAAGCTATATTTTCTCACATGAGATGCTACCCCTTTGTAGATTAGGATAGCATAGGCTTATGTTCCACTGAAAGCTAAACTGGCATGTTTAAGCCATGAATCAATGGCCTCTTCAAGGAATCAAGAGATAATGTCTGATTTCCATCACAAAGATACTGTACTCTGGGTCATACTGTTTCTCGTCTATATGGCTGCCCACAGAAAAGTTACTTTGAGACAGTAATATAATGGTGTGAAGACTGGAGACAGCAAGATAATTAACAATGGAACTAGATGTCACTGCTTGGGAAACATAAGCCAGGTGCAACCACCTAGCAGCATGGGAATGGACTGTAAGTAGTCTATTATCACAAAAGGAGTGAAAGAATCTTAACATGTGGAACATACATATATATAGAATTAGATTTTCATACAAGTGATTCTTCATTGCAGCTTCATAGTCTATATCTCCAATGAAGTGTCTTAATCCACTCAAATAAAGTCTCTGGCTTCCAATGAGAACACCAGGTTTCTGAGAAAGAGTGGCAACCACTGAAACCAAATCTCTTTATCAGGATTTTTCATAGAATTTTAAACTGGGGCTAGGATGCTTCAGTAATAATGGAAGCATTCATGCTTTCTTTATATTCCTCTAAGACTCACAAAACAGAAAACCTGTGATTTTGTATCTCTTTCATTATATGCACAAGGCCAAGCAAGACATTCTTTTCATACTGTAAGGCATCCGGAGTTATCCTGTGGTATCATGGGCAGCCAATAAATTTAATAAATAATAATAAAAATAATGCCCTAGTCACCCATATGCATCTCCCTTTCATAACAGCAGAGGCAAATGTTCTGTCTCAACTAGATAAAACCGTTTTCTATTTTTAAAAAATATTCAGGTCCCTCTTTGAGGGAAATGGGTGGTTCAGAAATATGAAAAACAAGCAAACAAAGAAATTCAAATAAGCTGTTGCAGATATACTTCCTTAGGCAACAGGATCTCACTTTAAAGGAGAACACAGGCCTTTAACTCCTACAAGACCAATCTGAGCTGATGCTCCCATTTTCAGTAGAACTTATTTGGGGGAAAATAGTACTATTTTGGGGGGAATTTGTCTTTTGGAAGGACAGCTATATCCTTGATGTGTCATTAGTGTAGCTGAGAATAACAGAATATCTGAATTGGAAGGGACCTTGGAGATCTTTTTATCCAACTCCATGCTCAAGCAGGAAGCCCTACACCATTTCAGACAAATGGTTGTCCAATTTCTTCTTAAAAACTTCCAGTGTTGGAGCATTCACAACTTCTGGAGGCAGGTTGTTCTACTGGTTAATTGTTCTAACTGTCAGGAAGTTTCTCCTTAGTTCTAGGTTGCTTCTCTCCTTGATTAGTTTCCATCCATTGCTTCTTGTCTTGTCCTCAGGTGCTTTGGAGATCTCCAAGGTCCCTTCCAACTCTGTTATTCTTATTCCAGTGATGGTGAACCTTTTAGAGACCGAGTGCCCAAACTGCAACCCAAAACCCACTTATGCATCATTGGGTGCCGGGTGGGTGTGGCCCATTGGCTAGGTGTGGCCAATTGGGTGGGCGTGGCCCATTGGGTGGACATGGCTGCGGTGGCAATGGCAGACTGGGTGGGACGAAAAGTTCAATCAATCAATTCCAACTTTGCAAGATCTTTTTTTTTTTCCCACGAGAAGTTGACTGATTGATTGAACCTTTTTTTTTTTTTTGCACACAGCAGCGGAGGCCTAAAGCAAAAAGGTTTTATAAAACCCAACTGAAGGCCTAGGACTGGGGCGACAGCACGTGTGCCCATAGAGAGGGCTCTGTGTGCCGCCTCTGGCACCCGTGCCATAGGTTCGCCACCACTGTTCTATTCTATTCTATTCTATTCTATTCTATTCTATTCTATTCTATTCTATTCTATTCTATTCTATTCTATTCTATTCTATTCTCTATGTGAATGTTAATTACTCAACTATTTCTTATCTTCAGAATATTGATTAGAAGGTGATTGGAGAGTCATTTTATCATGCAGATTTTTTTAATAATGTCCTGGGAGAGGAGATTATTTCCATGGAGACAAAGAGCTCAGCTAAGATTTATTGGGCAGAAAGACATTATTTTTTGTTTATTCTATGAGACCTTTTCACTGAGCATACTGCAAATGCTAATTACACAATATGTTTGCATCACTCCTAAGTTCCAGATTCTCAGGACTTTGGTGGCTGCTTCTCCAGTCAACCCAATGTTGTCCACTAAAATGTTGTCACCCACTTAGTGAAATTGCCACTAAAATTACTGTATGTAGTGTGTGGCAGGATAGACATGTTACATTGTCCACTTTGTTTGAGTACTTGGAATAAATTTGTGGGTTTCATAAACTAATAGCTATTCATTTAGAGAATTCCCAAAGATCATTATAGTTGTACTGCTCCTTAATTAAAACTCCTGGGAACCTAAAGCAGGTAAGATGGCAAAATGAAGAAAAAGTCTTTCTCTTTTGGACAATAAAAAATAAAAAATTAAAGGTAAAAAGTTCTTTCCTTCTGAAGAAAATCCCACAATTTTTTGACATTCTTTGACTGAAAAAATGTGTTCAAAATGTATGTCACAGCAACATATAGATATTAAATCCTCCAAAGAGAACATTTCTATATGTTGACAAAAGAAAGACTGAGCAGAAAGTCATTTTCTCCTTCTGCATTTAATTTTTTTTAGCTGTCAAAAAGTGAGAAAATAATCTACATACATTATTGGAGATTCAAGTAAATAAATATATATATAATAAAAAGAAAGAAAAACTGAAATGAAAAATGAAATATGGAAAAAGCTAATGTTATCCATATAATATTAATTTGAATTCTTTCAGTCCCTCAGTTTATTATTTAAAGTAGATCATATGGAAACATATTACCTCATCTTTCAAAATATTAAGTATTTTATTTTTTTTATTTTTAACCAACAAAACAAAGCAAAACATAACACACATACACACACAATATACTACTCCTTTTTTTTTACAGCAATTGCGTAACGGTAATCTATTATTTACATTTCCCTCCTTGTTCTTCTTTAGAATATT